GACAGTGAAAAAAATTTGTTAACAGAACAAAACAAACACAAAGTTTTAACTAATGCAGAAAACTTGAAACAACTAGTTACATCCAGCTTATCTGTGAACAAATCACATTGTGGGATTTACTTCCAAAAAGTATATAAAGGATTAGACTGGACACGAGGGTTGTTGTTTTTCTTATGTACCTGTATGCTCACTTTTGAATTTCTATTTTTCTTGTTTAGAAATTTCATCCAGTACATATTCCAATCGAGCTGATTTCAATGGACCTCAAAATACTAGGTATATTTTGTAGAAAGGCTCAAAAAAGCCTTCAGTCTATATCTAGCCAACGTTACACTAGTGACACTAAATCAGTAATTATGTACAGTAATTATGTACACTAAGTCAGTAATTATGTACAGAATGTACTGGAATGTTAAAGTGAAAAGGAAAGTGAGGCAATATTACTGGCAAAAGGTATCTGTGAGACACCAAGGACAATTAACAAAGAGGTTACAGTAGCAGCCAGGTAAGATCTGGCTTGTGAAATAGAACATGAAATAGAAGAAAGCAGCTGTGTGGAAAAAAGCAAACACATGCTTGCAACTGAAAAGACTGTGGAGGGAGAGGCACTATTCACATTTAGAATAATATGGAGAACTAGGAGATGAACAGAGTGGAAGAGCAAGATGCTGTGAATTTTCTGCTTCTTCCTCTTAGGTTGCATGATTAAAAATCAACAAAATTACACACAGAGACAGACAAAATGAAGCAATTCTTCTGAGTCACTGTGGTGAGTTATTATGGTAAAATGATCAGCATATGTCAGGTAGAGTTCTTGAGCTTTAAGTGGAAACAAGATTTCTTCCATTATTGGAGTTTCATCCTGTCAAACATATTTATGCAGACCCCATCCTTTCTGTGACATTTCATATTTGTGAAATACTGTTGGCAAATCCCCTGTTAATATCCAGCCAGCTATTGTACCCAGGCAAGCCTCTGCTTTTAATTCATGAATTTTGAAAGCGTATAAATGTTATGGTTTTAGAAAAGATCTTTCTGGACTTAAATTTATTTATTTATATATATTTATAAATAAATAAATTCCTTTCTCACCCCTATGGGTGGTATGTGTCAGAGGTCCCCAACTTATGGTCTGTGGCCCAGGCCCCAGGAATAGTTGGTGAGCCCCACCCCACTCACGGTAGCATCACTGTGCGGGCACTAGTAGCCCCATTTGCATATGCGCGGGGATGCTAGCACTGCCACCAGTGTCACACTGTTGCCAGCAGCCTCTTTGTGCACATGTGCAGTCCATTTGCACATGTGGACGGATGTCAGCCATGTGCCATGGGTGCATGCACCCCACTTGCACATGTGTATGCATGCTAGCGCCATCATGCACACCCTGTTTGTGCATACATGTGTGGGCCGTGTGCGTACACATTTTCCTACTGCTCCCTTTCCTTCCAGGCCACCAAGCTGAAAAGGTTGGGGAACTCTGCTCTACCTGACAGTTTGAATGGTTGACGGTTCTGTGCAGCTGTTCCTGGCACTCCACTCTTATGGAGACAAAGCATGTGACTGTGGATGCTACAACAATCATATATATATAGAGACAGTTGGCTTTCATATTTGTGTTGTAAACTGCCCGGAGAAGGGCAGGGTAGAAATTTAATAAATAAACAATAAATAATCATCAAAGTTAAGGAAGGTTTGAAAGTTATTGAACTTGTTTGCTATTATGCTGTCAATAGTTTGCTTTAACTCACTTTTACTATTCTTGAACCTCCTTCTTCTTGCATGTCTGTATTCGTGGGATCCTACATATCCTTTGAATCCATACATATTTAAACTTTTTTAAATCGGATTTCCTAAAGTCCAGGATGCACATTTGACTACATTCTATTAGATATTCTTTGGGTTTACTTAATAGAAAGGATGTAGTATATTCAAGGTACTATAGTCTCATGAGACCAGGACTTCAAAATGCTCTTATATTCATCTGCTCACAAACAGCACCTATTAGGTTTTTAGTCAGCTAATAGTGTTAGCATTGCCCAAGTGTTTAGAAAAATAGCCATCTCTTAATCATAAAACCTGAAAGTCAGTGAACAGGGAACAATATAGAATTCATAGGATTCAAAAGAATCTATATTTCCTCCATAAAATTCAGAGAGAGCACTGAGAAATGTAATTTATATTTTCTCTCTCTGAAATCAAATTTCACTTGAACCAGGATATTTCTAGTATCATTTCCATAATAATGTTCCATTTTACATATGAAGCATTCTAAAACTGTGCCTGAAGGATTTTTAAATTGACTGAATACTTCAAATAAACTGAGAAGAGAAAAAAAGGAGAAGAAAAAAAAGAGGCAGGCCATGCCCAATCAGTGCCATTTAGAGCCAGCACAAGCAATGAAATAAATCTCTAATGAAATAAGTTGTGAGTGGAGATTGCTGTAGACATTTTATTTGAAGAGAAATATAGGAAGAAAAGTGGTACAAATGGAGGAAAACTCCAGCAGGAAGATTGGTATTCTGAAAAGTTAAAGCAAGTGTGAATCAACAGCAATCAAATTCCAGATGTTCCACTTTCAGGTAATTCTTTTCTTATGAACTTGGCTGGACAGGACCTCCTGAATATTTTCTATGAAATTGTTCATGGATGTAAGCTATGCCTTGGGATACATATGGGATTTGGAGAGAGCTTAGACTGAATCCTACTCACAAGAAATGTTTGCAAAAGCAACAAAGTCTTTTAAACTTTTAGATTTCAGAGGGAACAGATTGGTTGTTTTGGAAAAGGTTGTCCACCATTACTGCTTTCACCAAGGAACTCTTGGTACATGTTCAAAATGCATTGGAGATCATCCAAGCACAGTTTGAAAGGGCTGCTATTCATCCAGTCAGAGCAGAAATAACATTTTAGATTGGGTAAATTTGATGAGGTTCCAACAGACTTATTTTCACAATGGCTTCTAATAAAAAGTATGCCTAGCTGAAGATTTGTTATGGTTTTGTTAAATTATAAGATGTGATTATTCTAGCCACACTGTCCATAATATACAGTACAATACACTGTGTAGTGTGATGAGGTGTAGTGTGGTATGGCATGGTGTAGTATAGCGTAGTATAATATATAATACAGTACAGTTCAATCTAAGCCAAGGCTCTTCAAACTTGGTCCTTTTATGACTTGTGTACTTCAACTCCCAGTTTGAAGAGCCCTGATCTAAGCTTTTATCTAGAGATCAAGGAGTATATAAGGAATCTCTCTTCATTTTATCATGATAACAATACTGTTGGGCAGTGGTTCTTAATCTTGGCCACTTGAAGATGTGGGACTTCAGATCCAGAATTCCCTGACCGACCATCCACACATTCTCAAGTCACCAAGGCTGAGATACATTCTTTTAAGGTATGGAGTAATCTGGCTTAGAGCAGTGACTAGCCCAAAGCCCCCAATGAATTTCTGTAGTTGAAGATAGGGTTTTCTTGGAGTTAATATATTAACTGTGGCACCACACAATTATTAAAAATATCAAACTAAACTGCCAAACATCCTATGATTAACAACATCCTATATACATCTAAATACATTCACATATCGTGGTATTCCCTTTCAGGGTAAGGAATGTTTTATAAGCTAAAGTAAGCAAGCAATAGCAAGCTAAATAAATTCAAGACATGAAACAAAAGAAGAAAACATACTTAAATCTAGTTATTATCTACATAATTCACAGCAGTTCTCCATATCTTGCAAACCATTCTTTCTTCCATAATGTCCATTCATTACTTCACATATAGTTTTTTGTTCTTTAAACTTTGCATTTCTCTGTTTTTATGGATTTCCTCGACTTTCAAATCATGATTCTCTCAGTCTTCTTCTTCCTCTCAACCCATTAATTGTTCTCCTTATATTTAGTTTATAATTTAATCTTCATTCATTTTCTGAAAGGTACTTTGTTCCTACTAATTTACTTTTATATCAACCTACATTCATTCAACTCCCACTCCTTCTTGACCCTATCTCTTCTTGTATTATCACATACACTTTCTGAGTATCCTATTCCTACTGTATTGACCTTACTCATCCAATTCCCACTTTGATATAAAAAAGTGGGCAGAAAGCATTTAATTTAAATAAATGTTCATTCCCGTAACTGATAATGTATATCCAACTACTTTCCCCCCATTATTTGCATGTCTTAAATTTCTTCTCTGACCTTCCCATCTTTAGTAACACTCTATGAAGGTCCAAAAATATCTACTTGGTTTGATTTATGAATAACTTATAATAATTCATTTCATTTTCCCTATTGCACACAACTATCTTGGTTTTTAAACATTAATTTTCATATATATAATTCTCATTGTAAGACATAATCTATCTAATATTCATTTAGCCAGACATATGGCACCATTTGTGTTTAACATATATTTATGATCAACATCCTTCTAACATCATAAAAAATGTTCCTAATACATTCATTCATGCATCCATCCATCCATTAAACAACCAAGGGGACATCAAACTTCCTAATTTTATTTCTTGCTCAATGTCAGACCATTTACTAAGCATTTAACTTATTCGCATACATTTTTTTTTACTTCTATAACATTTCTGTATGATTTTATTTAGCAGCAAAACAATGCAAAACATTCCGTAATTCAAGCCATTCATTTTATCACATGCTTTTAAAAAAAAATATGCATTCATTCATTCACTCCTTCATATAAACATAATTACAGGCAAAGTTTCTAAAACAACAAAACACAAATTCTTTTAAAGCACTCTGAAGAAGAATGTTTTATGATGCATGTCAAGAAATTGAAGGGTCATAGGAAAGCAGATTTCAGAATTGAACTCATGCCGCAAAAAAAACCCAAAAACAAAACAGAAAGAAAAAAAGAAAAAGAAAGAAAAAACAATGAAAGGAAAAACCTTGTAAGAGTTCCCACAAACTATTTTAAAGGACACTCGAAGCAAAACATTCATAATGATAAAGAAATACATACTCTGGTTTGCTCCAGGGAGCCAGTAGGCCAATCTTCCGCCCATCACCGGGTATTCAGCTGTAAATTTTAGCAGGCCAAAACTCAGGTGAGAGTTTGAGAAAATAGAGATGTGATTTTCTTTAATAGGTAATGTATTTTTTTAAAAAATGGTTCACTGGATACTACTTTAGAAGCTTCTAAACAGTATTAGCCTGTTAAGTTGTCAAAATGCTAGTGGATGAAAAGTGTGAGAAATAAAGCAACATGCAGTGGATAGATGCATCAACCCTAATCCAATACATATATTTTAGGGTGCTCCTAACCGCTAGTCCATAAACTCTGATAATTTCCTTATTTCAAACCATGGTTTGTTTTGGTTAAAATTCTGACTGAACCAGTTCAAGAAATTATTTAGAGGAATAGCAGCAGAATTGAAGGCAGGTTAGGCCGGTTAAAAATGAGTCTTCCAATTTCTATAATTACTGCTTTCAAGATTATTATTTAAAGATTGGCAGAATATAAAATTTTTGTTTTCCCAATATCGGTTGTGATGTGTATTCTTCCAGGAAGGATTCTAGTGGCTTATCTTAATTGTAACTGTCAGTTCAACTATACCAGATTCATGTCTATATATGTGTTTTTAAAAGATGATAACACTTCTATATAATAAGATTATGTAACAGATTAAGGAAAAATCAATAAAATGCAGGTGGTGCCAAGCCTTTTATTGTACTATGATTCGGTAGAATATTAAACTGTTGTTATTAAACAGTACTGAATATTTATTAAGTAGAATCATAGGATAATGATGTGATACTAAATCAGCGGTTCTCAACGTTTGTGTGACGGCGATACCCGCCACACAAACATTATGTGCATGTGCGGCGCGACGTGCATGGGGGCAGCCCCCCATGCGCGGCCCGCATGCATGGCCCCGCCCCCATGTGCAGCCCCCATGTGCAGCCCCGGCCCCGTGCGCGGCGTGCATGTGCGGTGCCGGCCCCGTGCACGGCGCGCATGCCCGGCACCGCCCCCGGAGGGGAGAAAATGACGGATTGCCGCCTTTGGCAATCCCCGAAAAATGGTCGATCGATCATGACCCATAGGTTGAGAACCGCTGTACTAAATAGAAACATTACTTCCTTTAAAGCTTTGTCACTACCTGTATTTATATCTTTATATTTATATCACGGGTGAGAAACAAGCCATGTCACGTGACATGTCGCAATATATTGTGACTTTTTTCACATTGCTGGAGCTGGGCGCAGCCTCCGCATGATGCAACCGGCCCAGAGGCCGGCAGTTTGACACCCCTGATCTATATCAACAATTCCTTGAGGAGGTAGTAACTATTGTTCAGAAATAAAGGGACCAGATAAATGTTGAGGAAAGAGGAACAGATAAATTAATATATAGGAAACTAATTGACAGCACCACTTTCAGAGTGCAATCCCATTTATTAATTGTTTTCATTACACAATTATTGTCTTAGCAATTTCCTTAACATCAGCTTCATTACTTGGGAAGGCAGCAATCCATAGCCAATTTTCTTTTCATGTTGTACTTGTTCACATGTAAATGCAGACCTTTTGTTCAAAATAGTTGCAATTAATAACTTTAAACAAAAGATATGCAAAATCCTTCCACTCAAAGCCATTTATAATCCACTAAAATGAATTGAAATTTCCATTTTGAGCCTAACCTATTTTTTTTTTTTTTTTTACTGATAATAGGACTGAATTCCCAAAAGCACTCCATGCATCTTGATAGTAACATCCTAATTTTCTTTCCTGGTAAATGTTTTAAATAAGACTTTAGCACCCAAGGAAATTAATCTTTAAATTAATTGCATTTATAAAAAGCCACCTCTGCTTTTGTCTTCAGCCTAATTACTTGCTTTAATTTAAACCAGCCTTAGTAGTTGATTTTACTAGCTATCCTTTCAGTTTAGATTACTTGCAGATACAGCTAGCCAATTTCTATCTCTGTATCTGCTTCTATTTGTGATAACATTATAATGATTTTGTTCTGCCTCTACAAGGCCCAAACTGTTAAACTTCTTATGATACTCCAATCTGGGCTTGATACCATTCAGAGCGTAATGGGAAAACTGTTGCTAACTCCATAAACATTTCTGACTTTTTGTTCATTGTTGGGAAGTTTCTTAAACACAGATAATTCACATCATTGTTGTATGCTGTACTGGTGTCGTCATCCATAATTAGCTGAACTGTTAACTGCATCTCTGGTAAACAAACAGGACAATATTTTAATGCATAACTGAATAATTCAGTATAGTTTGCTTTTAAATAAAAAAAATGAGCTGAAGGAAACTATGGAAAATGGCTGGAATGGGAGGGTTTAAGCCACAGCTAACTTTCTGAGAAAGGCAGCTTTCCATGTCAACTTTGTATTAAAGACAGTATCTTGAGCCGATTGCCCACATATATCTAGTACAACATAAGTTCTGCCCTTACAGTTCAAGTCATATAAAATGATGAGCACAAAGGTTTGGGGTTAAGTGCCATTTGTACATACACAATGTCTGAGATTCACAAAGTTATTATGCCATACATTGCTATGCCTAGAGGGATAATTTTTCTTTGAACATCATCTCATGCCAAATTACTCATTTCCCTTTCAAAATGTCTGTGTCTGAAGCCACTCCAACAAGGTCTTTCTTTGAAAAATATTCCCATTCTCAGCCTTTTTTGCTGCCTTGAAGTTGTGGAAAAGTTCTGAAGTTCATGGGCCTTGCACAACAAATCAGATAGCTGTATCTTAGGTCAAGCTAGGGGCTCTAAGAACTGCTTCTGCCACGGCATTCTGTGCCAGCTGTAGCTTCTGCATAATCTTCAAGGGCAGCCCCATGGTAGAGTGCGTTGCAATAATTCAGGCATGAGGAGACTGAGTGCGGAGATTTCTGATCCAGGAAAGGTCACAACTGGCACCCAACATGGAGTTGTGCAAAGGCTGTCCTTGTCATGACTGCCACCTGCTCTCCAGGAGAACCCCCAAGTTGTGACCAATTCTGTCTGTAGTAATGCAGGCCCAGATCTCAAAGCTCCATGCATCCAAAGTCATTTAATCTTGCCAGGGTTCAGTAGAAGCCTATTATCCCCCCATCTAGACCCCTACTGTCTCCAGGTACCATGAGAGGGCAGTGACAACATTACTTGGGTCACTAGGGTGGAGATATAGAGTTGATTATCATCCATGTACTGACAGATGATCTCACCCAGCCGTAGATGTTAAACAGGAGTAGAGAGAGTACTGAGCCCTGTGGCATACCTCAAAGGAGTGGCTGTAGGCTGGATCTCTCACTATCTATCAACACTGATTGGGACCAACTTTGGAGAAAGGAGCCAAACTAGCACAAGACTGCACTGCCCAGCCCCATACCCTGTAGCTGGCTAAAAACATACCAGGGTTGATGGTATCAAGGCTGCTGAGAGATCAAGAAGAGCAAGAAAGATTGTACTACCTCTATCCTGCTTTCACCAGAGATCATCAATGAGTGCAATCAATGTTGTTTCTGTTCCATAACTAGGCCTGAATCCTGACTGGAAGGGATCAAGATAATCCATTTTATGCAGGATCCTCTGAAACTGCCAAGCAATCACCTTTTTACCAAAAGGGAAGGTGGGAAACTGGACAAATATTGTCCAGGTGGGTGGGATTAAGAGATTTTTTTTATGTGACATCTACAGATTTTTTCTTTATTTGACATAACCAAGGACAATGCAAATTAAAAAAAATGGTTGGTATACTTAAGTAAATGTTATTAGGTGATGACTGTGTCAGCTACTTGCACTGATTTGAGAATCTGAAATATTTGGTGAAAAGTTATTGTCAATTTCAACAGGTCTTGGTTCAGTGCTTTTATGTATTATTCAATTTCTCAGCAACTGTATTAATTTGAAAGCTCCTAAACACCAAATGTGTGCATAGTTGGTTCCACACACATATTTATCTTTTGCAATGTTTGATTTCTACTCTTAACTAGCATCCAAACTCATTGTTTCTGGTTTCTTTCATACTCAAAAAAGCTGCCTCATATTTGTTGAAGAGCAGTTTAAAGACTTCATGAAACACTTCCAATCAGCTTTGCTGCATGCATACAATATTTGTTTTCTGCTCAATTGCTTGTCAAAATAAACTTCATTCCAGTAGAATATATGTAGCTCAGAACTGAACTGTGAAGTGCTCTGTCTTGGAGACATTTTATTACCCAACCAGGTAACATCATCAGGGCAAGTGAATGTGGAACTTGCTCCCATTTTATAGTAGGTTACCTACCAGTTTTTGTGGGGGTGTGATTTTCTGTTTAGTAAATAAATTTTCCTGCCCTTTGATGGTCCTGAACTTTTGACTAAAGAGGCAGTCAGGATTTGAAGTTTATCTATATCAGGGGTCTTCAAACTTGGCCCTTTTATGACTTGTGGACTTCAACTCCCAGAATTCCTCAGCCAGTGTGCCTCGCTGTGGAATTCTGGGAGTTGAAATCCACAAGTCATAAAGGGGCCAAGTTTGAAGACCCCTGATCTATATGGATATCTGGGGGCTGGCCTAACAGAATTACAGTTGACTGAACTACTGGAAGATGATGTAGTGAGATGTTTGTCATCATTTTGTACTGTATGCATGGTGATCAATGTTTGTATTGGGACTATGTCTTCATTATCCTACACCCACTGGCACTTTTTATATGCTGGGTGCAAATACGTGTCATTGCTAACACAATTTCTGATTGAAAAAAAAATGTCTTCGGTCCAAGATTCTTTCATGATCACAGTATTTCTCTATTTTCTGATAGTGTGTTTTTTTCTCTCCTTCTCAGAGTTCTAAAAGACGAGTATTTCACAATTGTTTATTTTCAGTTTCTATATTATGTATGATTAAGATTGTTCTGTTAATTGATTTTTCTCAGGTTTCTCATTAAAGACTTACTAAACTTTAAAGAAACCCATACATATATGAGCAATTTTTGAATTTCTCTTTAGCTAGCTAGATGAATTGATGCCTGGCTTGGATTTTCAATGCTGTTTACCTTCTGAAGGAACCTTCAGAAGATCAAC